AGTATTGCTCATATAAGAGATCAAGCTCAGGGAACCAGAGACCAGCCAGCTCAAATAATTCAAAATGCGATTGTTAGCATCCCAAGGGAAATCTATCATATGTTCCATCACAAAATGCTTTGCGCGTCTGAATTAAACATATTAGAAGAGCAGACATGCCTCCGCAACCCCAAACCTTGATGATATTAATATTCCTGATTCACTTTGTTCAACATTAAGTGGGGAAAATTTTTTAATAAGAGATTCCATAATTGAAAAAGAGCGAATTCTCTTGTTCACCACAAAGGCTAATATACAACACTTATCTAATTCCTTATACTGGATGATGGATGGTACCTTTAAGACTGTTCCAACTATTTTTCATCAATTGTACACAATCCATGCACCTGTTGGTACAGGGGATAATTCAAGAGTTCTTCCTTTAGTATATGTGTTAATGACAAAAAAATCAGAATTTTTATATAGAGCACTATTTCAAGATTTGATTGAATTTGCAAAAGAAAATAATATTTTATTAAGCCCCACAGCAATTCTTACAGACTTTGAACTTGCCGCAATAAACGCATCACGTATTGAATTTCCTAATATTAACAATAAGTGTTGCTTCTTTCACTTAAGACAAAGCGGCTGGAGAAAAATTCAAGAGAACAAACTATCAACTCATTATGGTCTTGATGAGGATTTTAGTATAAAACTGCGTCAGTTGTTTGCATTAGTATTCTTACCGTCAAATATAATTCCTGCAGCATTTGATGCCTTAAAGGAGGAAATGCCCACGAAAACCAAGGAGGTAGTAAAATGGTTTGAGGAAAATTATATTCACGGAAAACAAATACGAAAATGCGTAATGGTAATATTAGCCGTTCACCACCCCTTTTTCTGCCACAAATGTGGTCCGTGCATGACTCCATGGAAGCAGGTATTCCTCGAACACAGAACATTGTCGAAGCATGGCACCCACGATGGGAAAATTTAGTTGGTTGACCACGCGTAGGTGTTTATACTATTATTGAGGAATTTCAAAAAGAACAACAAAAAGTTGAGCATCAAGTAGAAGCTATTATACATAGTGCACAACGTCAAACACCTAAAAAAGGTACTATTGAAAGAGAACAAAGGTTTGATATTATAATTAATAATCAAAAAAATTGTTCATTAATGGAGTTTCTCCGTGGAATAGCACACAATCTTTCTTTATAATTATACGCATCTAGAATTTT